GTCGGTGTGGATTCCGGAAGTATTCTAAAGAGTCTGTGCATCCGGCTCCTTTGGTGGAGCCTGCACGACTTCGAGCCTAAGCGAGGCTTCGAGCCTAAACGATCGATTTCGATGGATTTAAACTAACATCTGCTAAGACTCGAATAAATCTACTGAAAAACGGATAAAAAATATTTTAGAAACATAAAAACGAGTCATTCGAATTAAAATGCATAAATGTAAACTAAAAACTACGAAAAGGAAATAGAGAAATATGCGAGTTCATCTTCTTGTGCGTGTGTGTGATGTGTTTTTTCCTAGTTTTAATCCTAAGATAGAATAACCGTCTCTTCCCACTAAAAGGGGTAGTTCTAATTATTCCTCCATCACTCTCAACCGCCTGATAACCTCCCACTACCTCGTAACCTCGTTCTATTACCTCAAACTGTCTGTTAATATCCTTCCCTGCTAACCTCCTTTCATCATCTCCTAACCACCTGGTAACTTCCTTCCATCAGCTCCCAACCGCTTCGATTGCTTCTGAACCGAATTTCATTTGCTCTAAACTTGTTCCATTGCCTCTAGACCAGATCTGCCACTTACTCCGACTTATTTCCATCGTACTCCTAGCTGGTCCACGGGGATGTGTCCCCAACAGCCTCGAATTAAATAAAATCTTCGGTTTTCCTCTTGTTGGCTTGCTCCATAGAGCTTTTTGAATAAAGTATGAAAGTGCATATGCCCTCCACTAATGTTTAGTACGAAATTATTAACTCAAGGCCAATGGAGGTAGTTATATTATGATATGTGGAAGCTGTTGTTTTCTATCTTGAGGAGACAACATTCCTCTGCTTTGTGGAAGCACCGCAGTCCAATGGAGGTAGTTGTTTTCGGTCCTATGGAAGCACCACAATCCAATGGAAGCTGTTGCCTTCGGCTCTATGGAGGCAGCAGTCTTTGGCTCCGAAGCTTGAAGCTCTATTGCTATTCGGCAACTCCGTAGTCAAGAAGTTCTGATTCCACTTTTATCTATAAATCTGCTTCACGTTCGAATGCTTTTGAACTCATGTTCAACAATAGCAGACATTCAATTCATTTAGTAGAATGGCAATAAGACACTTCCAATAATAAATAATTTAAGACTATCATATAAATAGAAAAATGGTCGCATACGTCTTATTGTTGTGCTTATGTATGCCTATAATAATAATAATAAATGTTGTTATTTGCTATTATGTCAAATAAATGTGATGTTAGATCAGTATTTCAACGTATTCAATAGTTTTTAGTTAGTCGATAGTTTTCAAAATAATAACGTTTCTGTTCTTTCTATTTTTTTTATATATAATTTTTTTAAAAAAATTAATACACTACATATATTCATTATTTTTAAATTACTTACATAATTTTCTATATCTCAAATAAAATTATTTTTTTTAACAATCTCACAAAACAAACACACCGTAGATTATGGCGGCTCTCTCTTTTAGCGGCCAACAGCAACTTGGCGCCGGTTGTCTTTTCCGAACAACAAGTTCCAATGAACTCAAACAATGGCATGTGTGAAGTAATTGTAGCTCAAGATGTTGAATTACTCCCTTGTACATCTTAGATAGTTGGGATTCAATCTTCTATTGGAACAATGGTATAGAAAAAAATGTTCTTTAATAAATAAAATGTTAAAAGAAAAAAAAAAAAAAAAAGAAGTAGCGACAAGGATTCTTCGGATGGACAATCGCAAACCTCCTTCTCCGGTGGCTTTGAACGGTCGCAACTGCCAATTCAACATAGAACTGTTTCAGCATCCAACAACGATTCGATGTAACTGTTGATTAACTCAAATTCAACACAGACTCAAATAGACGATTATCAACTAGACCGCCTTTTAACAATTCTAAACTTACGAATCAATGCAACACAAATTTTTGAGTTTGAGTTTTAAATAGTAAAATTTTGAATTTAAATAATTATTTGATATAATATAAATATATGTATATTCTGAATGTAAAATTAAAATTTAGTGTAATATGATAAATAAAAATTAAATATTTGATTTTTATATTTTTTGAGATAAAAAATTATAGTAGTAAAATCTAACCAAAACCCTACAAAGAAACACACCCTTGGGTTTGTTTGTTTTTATTTGAGTTTGGAGTTTTGATTTGATTTATAATTTAAATAATAATTTAATTTGATATTTAATGAAAAAATATATATATATTTAAGTGACTTGGCGTCGGAATCTCGACGATTCCCTTTGTTAATGTTGCTTCATTGAAAATTTTGAAGTTTGCATGGAGTATGCTGTGATCCAAGCCGAATATTCCTACTGAAAATTCTTCAGATATATTGTTTAATATACTCCATCTTTTCCAAATACCCTACAACATTTTTCTTTGGTATGTCCCAAATATCTGCAATATTTCTAAAATAAAAAATAATTAATTATATTTAATTTCTATCACACCCTTTATCACATCATCCAAATAAAAAAATAAAATATATATTTATCTCTCCATCACATAACTTAATTTCTAAATTATCTTATTTAATACTACTATCCACCTAAAAACTCGTACCAAAAGTAAATGTTGCACCTTGTTTGGAACGGAGATCTACTAATTTTCTTGTTTCCTTTGAATTAATATTCTGATTCCTATTAATACGTTTATATGCTAACTTGCTAATAATTATCGTAGAAAGAATAATTGGTGATCGTGAAACAGTACTATTTTTATTATTTTTTATGGCTTATTTAAAAGTATATATTCCTTCCGTCCACAAATTAATATTTTAATTTTTTATTTGGGATGTTTAACAACTATTGTCCTAATCTCTTTTTAAAACACAAATTTTACATTTTTATTCTTCATTCGTTTATTACTTCTAATATCTATCATACAATCAAGGGCAAATTTTTCTATTCATAACAAAAAGACAATCACCTAAAAAATCGTACAAATATACTTTAGAACAATATAAATTGGATGGGGGAGTATTTTTTATTATAGCAAAAATAATCGCACGTAAAATACCATTTATTTTTTACATAAATTACAAATATACTATTACATATATGAACAATTTATATATACAATAAAAGACAAAAATGTCAAAATTATCTTAATAAAATATTATTTCATATGTATGGTTCTAAGAGTCTCATTTACCTTTTGTGTCATTGTACTTAATATTAAAAATATCTTCATATTTGTATATTTATTTGCAAAAATATCATTATAATAGTAATTATAAGACATTAATAAAAATAATTTTTTGTTCTTTTCCTTTAATTTATACTATATTTTTATATCATAATTAATATTAAAAAATTAACAAGCAAAAAGTAAAAAAAAACTTTTAAAACATGATGAATCTAGTAAATTATTTTTTAATTTACTATAAAACTTTAAAAAATCCCTTAAAATTAAATATTATTATTTTTTAATTTATTATAAAACTTAAAAGAATTTCTTAAATTGAAATAGTATGGGCGTGTTTCTTTAGGGGTATGGGAAAATTTGAATTTGGATTTAGTTTTTATTTGAATTTTAACTTGTGTTTGAATTTTGATTTTTCTTTTGTATTTATGTTTGGTTGGGAGTTTGGGAAGTTTTGATACGATTGAGTTAATGACTAATAAATATAATAATATAAATGTATATTAATTTATATAATTTAATTATAAATTTATATTATATCTATATATATTTTTAAATTTTTATTTATCAGTATTATAAAAAACTTTATTATATACAAAATAATATATATTATATATATAATTAAATTATACCTGTTATAAAAATTCAAATTTAATTAAAAAAAAAAACAGAACAGCCCTATTGGCCTGGTTATCGGCTACTGTTGGCCTGGTTTCGCGCCAAAACTCGGGCCAACAGTAGCTCGGTAGTAGTTTTGGCCAAAACTATTGCGAAACAAACCCTATATTTTATTGTTAACTATCTGACAAAATACTCTTAATTAGATAAGTTTGAAATAATAGGCAAATAAGTCTAAAAACTTTGACTAAACAAATCCAAAATAATTTTTTTTTAAAGCAAAATTATTTTGTATTTCACTGATATAGTAATTAATAAAAATAAAACATTTATCATATTAAAATATTAATAATAATAAAAAAAAATCAAATCCAGCTACAAACCACAGAAACTTCGCCCACATTGTTTTTAATTCGGCTAACATTTGGGACATTGGCGGGAACATCTCAATAGCAAAAGCACCGCATCATAGTACGTGTCAGATTCTTGATAACCCCAATTCCACAAATCTACTTTCAATCCCTTCGCGTGTTCCTCACGCCACGCCTTCTTCCACTCAATTTTTATTTTTTAATACTTCGAGATACAAATAAATATTAAATTTTTTTTTGGCACCATCCACATATTCTGCCTCGTTTCAATACAATACTCTTATTTATTATTTTTATTTATTTTAAAATAATAATTTTATTTTTATAGATAAATATATTATCATAAAATTATTCATATTTTTTTATTTTTATTAAACAATTACCACTATTTTTACACTAATACACTCATAAGGACAAAAAAATATTTTATCCATACTTTCTATTTACTACCAATATAATATCAATATTTTTTAAATTTTATATTCAATCTAATTAAAATTATATTTAAGGAAAAAATAGAGTATATAAATTATAAATTGGCATCCACGGCACAATGTATTAAAAATAAAAACATACCATTATATTTTTCTTAAATATAGTATTGATAGACAAACAAACAAAGCCTCAGCAATTTGGCAGCAGGCGTGTGGCTGACGCAGTCGACGCCGCGCGTGGGGCACCGTCGCAGTAAATATAATTTCTGACAGCCCATTGCTTTTGTTGCTGCCCATAGGAAAAAAGCCCTAACCCAACGGCCGATCCACGTGTAATGTCAAATATACCCCCGGGTTGATCACGCGAATTTACATAGATACCCCTCCCTCCGCCGCCTATATAAACGCGGCTTCAATCATAGTTAGGTTTGCCAAAATAGAGAGCCGATCGGCACTTTCTCTGTCTAAAGTTTTACCCTTTCCTTGATTAATTAATTAAAGAATTAATAAAATTGCCTTTTTCAGTTACAGTTGAAGGTACAACCCATGGAAGCGTCCTCCAGGAGCCGCTCCTCCGGTGGTACAACCTTCCACAGCCACTTCCAGCGTTCCCTATCGCCGTCGGGGCGGTTCTGCGCCTCCTCCATCTACACGTCGCCGTCGCCGGCGTTCTCCGCGCGATCCGATCCGGTGATTTTATCCCGATCCACAAGCCCGACGCGCGTGAGCCTCGGCAGATCTGTATCGCCTTCGTCGTCGATTAGGTTTTCGTCGCCGCGGAGGCATCCGATCGCCGCCTCGCACCACCACCAAAAGCAGAGCCACCGATCGCTGAATCCAGGGGCGAAGAAGACGTGTATGTGTTCTCCGACGACGCACCCTGGCTCCTTCCGGTGCAGCCTGCATAAGAACAGCATAGTCCCCGGCTACACCTCCTCCACCGGCGCCAATACGTCGTCGTATCGGTCGAGCCATCAATTGAATATGCGGCGGTCGGCGATGACCAATTCCTTGGTTCGAATCGGCACCGTTGAAGGCGATTTGGTGAAGCGCGCCCTAGCGCAGCTGATCCGGCCGTCGTCGCACAGCTTGCGCCGCCGCGGCGACTTCCAGCCGAAGCCGAGCCGGCTTTCCTCGATGTCTAAAGCCGATGACGATTTATAGCCGAGTTTGCGTAGGCGTGAAGTGGTTTTTTGTACATAAAGAAGTCTGACTCGGTGAGTTGACTCAGTGAGTCGTGACTCGGGCTCTGTGTTGTGGAAATTTTTGGTTTTAAAAATGAAAACCCCTAAATTTCTGAGTAGTTCCCTAATAGCCAAGAACTCACTCTGCCATGGTGGTTTTCATTTTCATTGGAATGATGAATATTTGTGATTATAGATATGATACAGCAGTGTTGTTGGGGATTTGATTGATGATCCCATATGAACATTTGTTGGATTTTGTTTATTGATATGTCAGATTCTTTTGATTAATTTGTTGTAGCAGAAATTGGATCTGACATTGTTGAATTGAATTGTTGTTGGTATGGTTGGGTTCATATATTTGTTGAGTGGCTGGCAAGAATGGTAAAAATGGGTTCATATAATTGTATCCTTGGACTGCAGTTCTTCAACATTCTGCCTCTGTTTTTTCTGAATTTTTTTATCTACATATAATACTATTAGACTTTTTTTAATCTTCTTCTTTTTTTTAAGGTTGTATTCCTTTTGGGGTTTTTATAAATTTAGGATTGGATTTAGTTTTTATTTGAATTTTGAGATCGATTTAAATTTATTTGTTTCATTTGTATCTAGGTTTGGATAGATTTGGGAGAGTTTTGACGTGTATTTATTTGATAGTAATGAATACTCTCTCCGTCTCAAAAGTATAATTTTATTATGTTGAACACAAAATTTAAGAAATATTGATATTATTTCGGTGTTTGGTAAAAAATATGGGTAAATGATTTTTTTGTCCTTACGAGTATATCAATGTGAAAAACAGTGGCAATTGTGTAATTATAATATAAAAGTAAGAATGTTTTTGTGGTGATATGATTATTTATGGAAATGAAACTATTGTTTTGGGACAGAGAACTCGTCCCATTACTAGATATCAATTTACTTTTTGCACGAAGTTTAGAAATATTAGTATTATATTGAGAAATAGTAGGAATAAAGTAAATGAGTAAAATAACCTTATTATTAGTATGATGTTATATAAAGATAATGACATTTGTATAATATATTGTAAGTTGCAAGAATATTTGTAATGTTAAGTAGATAGTACAGTTACTTAAAAAAAAATGGACAAATTAAAATGAAAAAATGGATAATTTGTTATGAGATGGAGGAAATATTAATTTGTATGATTTGATTATAAATTTACGTTAAATCTCTATATATATATATATATATATTTCTAATTTTTTTTATTATTATTAATTATATTGTTGCATCAATTTTTAAAATACTAACACACAAAAAAATAAAAAATAAAACACACATGTTGTCTTTATGGAATGGAACATATGGAGCAATGCAAGTGTATGCACTCACAGTGATCCTAATGGAAAAAATAACACCAACATAAATTGTGCAATGGCTATTATGAAAATTCAAATGATACATATTTTGACATAGAAAATATTATTTTGATTTTATATTTCCTAATAAAACAATTGTTTTCAAATTAAGTGTTAAATTGTTATTGTCTTCGAATTAAGTATTTAAATTGTTTTTTTTTAAGTAACTTTTTAAATATTAATATTATATTTCTATGTATTAAAAATATATATATATACTGTGTATTAATAGTATATAATATAAATATAATGAATATTATAAATTCTAAAATATTTTAAATATTAAATATTATAATTATTAAAAAATACTACTTTATTTTGAAATAGATCAAAATAAAAAATACTGTAGTGTTTCTTAATTGAAGAGAAAAAATATTTTTTATATTAAATATGATTTTTAAATTGAGACTGAAGAGAAAGATCTTTTTTTCAAAAAAATTAATATACTAAATATTAAAGAATTTGAAATTTTACCATTAGATTAGGCCTTCATTGTAGTAAAATAAGTGAAAATTGATGCAACAACTAAATTTCAAATCTTTATTACTACAATTTACTTACTATGATAAATATGGGTAAATGAATTTCGGAACTCTTTAGAATTGTGTCTTTACATTTATTTTTTTCTAAATTAATTAAAAAATAATTTCAACTAATTCTCCAATATTTAAGTAATTAAAAAATTGTATTAATAAAAATAATTATTTTATAATTAAAATAAGATTAAAATAAATAAATAGTTCAATTAAGATTAATAAAATTATAAATTATAAAATTTAAAATGTGAATCATATTAAAAAAAAATATTATGTGGGACGAACCGAATAGAAAAAGTGAATTTATGTAGGATGGAGAGAGTACTCTCTATTTGTTTAAATTTTTTCCTTTAAATTTTGTCCTTGTAAAATTTCTATAATACACTTATTTAACTTTTTTTTTAGTGGACAAAAAATTCAGATTTAGCGATCGAACTCTCCGTTGAATCGAATTTTCGATTAACATAAGTAAATTTGATTTGAACACAAATATTGTATATTTAATATTTGTTCGGTTTTGATTTTCAATATATACATATATTTAAGTTAATCAAACCGAACCGAATATATTTATATTATTACTCTTCCCGTCCCAAAATAATTGATTATTTTCATTAGCGATCGGTATTTAAAAAAATAATGTTTAATTAGTTAACAATAGTGAGTTATGATATTATTTTATTATTTTTAATAATATTGATAATTTTAAGATAAATTTAATATATAATTAAAATAAATTACAATATGTATTTAAATATTTTAAAAATCATATCTCAATAAAGAATATATGCAATATAGGTATCATTTTGTAGATAATAAAATTTTCTATAATACAAGTAAATAAAAAATTTGTTTATTTATTTATAATTAACATAAACTAATTTTATAAAATATGTGGAGTTTAAATTTAGATAAAAAATATTTATTTTTTTAAGAGTAAGATAAAAATAAAAAGAATTTGAGTGGGTCCTATACGATGTATGATTTTTTATATATTATAATTAATTATGTTGATTTATATTTGTTAAGTATGTTTAAGTTAGTAAGTTTATCCAAAAAAAAAATTAAAAAAATAAACTAATTGTTACGGTTTTTTACAAGATAGAAATGAAAAATGGGTCAATTTGTTGTGGAACGGATGAAGTATGTTTTAACATTTATATTACTAATTTGGTTCGGTTCACTTCAGCTCGATTTGTAATATTGACAAATATTTTTAGTTATATAAAATTTTACTTATTTTTTAATATATATATTTTTAAATCTGGTTCGATTTAAATTATTTATAAATATTATACATATATTCAATTTAAATATGATTCACGATTTCGAATATTTATTCACTTCAATTAAAATACCAAATACCTTGATATTTTGTAAACAATTGTATTTATTCACTTCAATTAAAATACCAAATACCTTGATATTTTGTAAACAATTGAACGTGTCCACTCTAATTTCCTTCATCTTTTTACGTGCACATATAGAATTTGTTTATTTGAAGTTTTAATTTGAGATATTATTTGTATGAGTTAGATTGTATAGATAATATAAAATTAATATTTTATATTAAATGTTAATTTTTTATATAAAAAAAATTATATTTATTATATATATTGAAAGGAATGTCAATAAAATTTGTTTAGTGTGTTTGTTTGAAGGATTTAGAGTGATTTGTATTATTTTCACCAAATTTTTTCTAAAATAATTAATCAAACATCTATTTTTTATTTTTTTATATTATACTTAAAATCAATTTTACATTCAAAATATCACATCAATAATATTATTTATATTATATCGTACAACTATTCCAATTTAATTTTTTTACTATTTAAATCTCAATCTAACATCCAAACCCCAAAACAAACACACCCCAAATTGTGAATTTTTCTATTTACAAAAGTTGAACCGCCAAGAAAAAATTCAAAGAATAGACTCAAAGGGAGTTTTCATTATCAGCACTGCATCACACAATGAAAAACAAAAAAACAAAAAAGATTTCCGGATAGAACTAGAAGTCAAAATAGTTCTGGTTTTTTGGTTTTTTAATGTCATCAGCATTGCATCACATACCGAACATTAAAAAAAAAATTTCGAACAGCAACAGAACTCAAAATCGTGCAGTATTTTTTGTTTTTTTTTTACCAGTGCGGGATATATTTTAAAAAAAAATTAAAAGTTAATTTTGTTGTATTGTTTAACTTCATCATCATTTCAATAACAAAGTTATTCCAGCAATCAAGGAGTAATGGCCAAGCGGGGCAAGTAAGAACATCATCATACAACAAGATATTGCCAAATCCTATATCCAATATTGTGATCCAAATTTTAGAGAGGCAGCAGGTTCAGATGGATTCAATATCCATCTTGTATGCCAACCACCCAACTCACCCGATTGGAACATAGACGACCTTGGATGGTTTAGAGTCATCCAAAACTTGCAAACAGAGACAACGTCATTCATAGTGGATGAGCTTGCAAGTAATGTGCAAATAAATTTTGAAAGACGTATACACACCACCTTAAATAAAGTGTTTGTAAGTTTACAAGCGTGTACGGTGAAGATATCAAATTCAATAGTCATAACTCATACAAGTCAGCCCATATGAATAAAAACAAGTTAATTCGTGATGGTACTCTTCCTCGGCATTACCAAGTGGAAGAGGAGTGTGTAAAAGAAGGTTTGAAGTTTCTAATGTTCTCCGAGAATCAAGAAGCAGTAGATACTAGTAGTCCAATGGTATTGAATGACATGATCTATTTCGAATGAAATACTTATGTTATAGTTGGTGTAGTAGAAAAAATATTTTGTAGGAAAGAACCAACATTTTTTACTAAAAAGAAATAGTAATAACAGTTGTATATTTTTGTAAAGATCTTTATTTTTTTTAACTTTCAAATTGGCTAACGCTCTCATCATCAAGTTAGTAATGTACACATTAGTCTCCAGAACTTGTGTTACAATATGTTATGGACTTAATTCTACATCCATAAACTTTGAAACGGATAACAAAGAAGATTCAGTTTCGATCAAAATTAAACTGCCAAATATTACATTCACATTTTGTTTAGAAATGGGCAACCAATGGAAAGTCCCTCAGATTTGGGCATTAATCATCCCCGGGATTCTAACCTAATTCGACCGGAGAATCGACCGAAGAGGATGCCGTCTCCACCACCGGCGACGGATCTACGGTGAAATTGCCATGAGAGTTGCATTCGAAGTCCCCTTCCACTCCTATTTCCTTCACCGGAGAAATCGTTTCCAAATTATGAAAAAAGCAACGACCGAAGAGAGAAGAAGTTTCTCAATAAGGAAACAAAGAATTCTGACGAATTAATGGTCGGAAAAACCAAAATCGTCGGCAACAATTTTAAAATTTATAGAGGAGAACGGGACAGTAGCGGGGAGAAGGAAAGGGGAAATGGGAGTGA